CTCTAAGAAAAGGATTTAAAAAGAGGTGAGTTATTGATCATGATTTAAAGGAATTGCTTCAACATCGATTAATATTTGTATTTTCTAGTTACAATAAAACAATTCAATAGCTTGATTATGAAAGTCTCCATAATGATAAAACGATTGTGAAGCAATTTATAAATAAATATTAAAATACTGATTTATTTTTAATTGCAATATATGAAAAAAAGCTTTAGAGTCAAAACTTCATTTTTGGTTTTAAATTTTATATAACATTCCATAAATATTAATTTTTTTTCTGTTATATTCAGGATATTTTGACTAATAAGCATCGCTCTATACATATTTCAATTACAATTAAAACTGAGATGACAACATTTCATAATAAATTAGTTACAAGTAACAAGAAATGTTATTACAGTCAAGTAATTGAGCTTTGCGTAACCATTTTTCAGTTCAATTATATTTCACTTTTGCTAAACGACATATGACAATTATGTATGTTTGATATGTATTAATTGTAATTGAAGGCGCGGATCAAAGAACTCGCTCTGCGCTCGAAATCGTGTAAAAACATTGTTCAAACGTCTCAGAGCATGAAAATTTTGAAAGTCGCAAAATTAATTTTTTTAAATATAGGCTTGTAGAGAATGACGAGACGGAACTTTTTCTATTTACAGTTTTTTGGTTTAATGCTTATTTTTAATAATAAAAATTGAAAACTGAAAAATTTTTATCCCCAAATTCAATAAGATTTTAAGATGTAAATCGTCGTAATTTGGCCATATCTTGTTGAAATTGTTTGAAATTTGGTATATGCATGCAGTATAGTGTAGCGATGCCTACAAAACAATAAAGAAGCTGAAAATCGCCTATTATTTAATAATAATTAATTGGAAATTGAGGCCAATCGGTAACCACGTTTTTTTAGTTTCGCCGACAAAAAGTATCGAGGGAACTTGAAGTTTGAAACAACTTCCAGTGAGACATTTGTTCCTCACTATTGAAGGAAGATTTCTGGAAATTTTCAGATCGATTCATTAAAAATGTGCGGAAATATGCATTTTGTAAAAAAACATGCGACGCCGCCAATGATAGC